TATTGTGCTTTACAGAAATACACAAACCCGATACAAAATGTGTGCGATCGGGTCTGTGTGCGATCGGGCCTGTGTGCAATCGGGCCTGTGTGCAATCGGGCCTGTGTGCAATCGGGCCTGTGTGCAATCGGGCCTGTGTGCGATCGGGCCTGTGTCCGATGGAGCCTGTGTCCGATCGGGCCTGTGTCCGATGGAGCCTGTGTCCGATCGGGCCTGTGTCCGATGGAGCCTGTGTCCGATCGGGACTGTGTCCGATCGGGAAATATTGCCGTGTCCGATCGGTTATGTGCGCAATCGGGACTCACTCGGCAGTGACTGAGGATTTGAATCGAGCAATTAGTCGATTTTGAGAGCTTGACCATCTCATAACCTCTCCTGAAACATCGCCGGAAGCACAAGCTTGTGAACAGCTCTACAAGGATACAGTGAGACGTAACAGTGAGGGACGTTTCGTGGTCCGATTGCCCATCAAGTCAGACAAGTTAAATGATATTGGAGATTCTGAGGAGACGGCCACCCGTCGGTTCAAATCCTTGGAAAGGCGTCTGGTAAAATCACCCAAGTTATACTCAGATTACAGGCTATTCATGCGGGAGTATTTGCAACTTGGGCACATGCGTGAGGTCACCGATCATGTGAAACCTGCTGGCGCATTACTACTTTCTACTAATTTACTACTTTCCCCATCATGCGGTCTACAAGGAAACCAGTACTTCAACTAAATTGAGAATTGTTTTTGACGGCTCATGCAAAACAACCACCGGAATCTCATTGAACGACGCATTGATGGTCGGTCCTACGATCCAAGACGACCTCTTTACCATACTAGCCAGATTCCGCACCTTTAAATACGCTCTCACGGCGGATATTACGAAAATATACAGACAGGTACTAATCGATCTCAATCAAACTCAGCTGCAGCGCATTCTATGGCGCGATTCTGTAGATCAACCGATCCGTACCTTCGAGCTTCTCACCGTCACCTACGGCACAGCATCCGCTGCATTCTTGGCGATTCGATCCCTCCGGAAGTTGGCGGAAGATAGCCCCGGCAAATATCCAATTGGTTCCAAGATAGAGGGATTTCTACGTAGATGGCCTGGTTACCGGCGCGGATACTCTACAAGGCACACTTTCCATCAAGGAAGAGACCTCTCGGCTATTGCGAGAAGGGCATTTCGAATTGTGTAAATGGGCGTCCAATGAACCAACTCTTCATGGCGACTTGCATCATGAAAAAGAATTCATTACCTCCAGCGATAAGGCATGCGAAACAAGAGCCTTGGGTCTCGTTTGAAACTGCACCGCTGATCAGTTCAGATTTTCCGACATCGCTCGCCCGCCACGTTTGTCTACGGCTACCAAAAGGAGTATTCTGTCAAGGATTGCCTTAGTATTCGATCCGCTTGGGCTGCTTGGTCCCGTTACTGTTACTGCTAAAATCATCATGCTGGATCTTTGACGTCTCAAAATCGATTGGGATGAATCCATTCCGTTGGATATGGACAGCAAGTGGAAACAATATGAGGCTGAACTAACGTCATTAAAGGACATTGCTATACCACGACGAGTCATTACATTAGACAAACCTACCGCTTTGGAACTTCATGGTTTTTCAGATGCTAGCGAGCTCGCTTATGGCGCATGCATCTATTTACGCTCAACTAACGACGATGGGACACATTCTACTCAGCTGCTCTGCTCAAAAAATCGAGTAGCTCCCTTAAAGAGCTTATCCATACCACGCCTAGAATTGTGCGCAGCGCTACTATTGGCACGACTTGTCAATAAGGTCACAAAGGGATTAGTTCATGACGTGAAGTCAATATACTTATGGACTGACTCCACAATTGTTTTAGCCTGGCTCCAATCTTGTAGCCGCACCTGGACCCCGTTTGTCGCCAACAGGGTTGGTGAAATTCAGCATCTAACGACCACCCGCGACTGGCACCACGTTAGCAGTCAGGACAATCCCGCCGATGTTTTATCAAGGGGAGTCATGCCAAGTTCTCTTCGACTGACGTCCCTATGGTGGTCGGGACCGCTATGGTTGGGTCTCAATAAAGAAGGTTGCCCAAGGTTTCCTGACATCGTGGACGAGAGTCAACTTCCCGAGCGCAAAGCCACCGCCGTTGCCGCACTTACCATCACAGAATCATCATTCGACATCTTCGAACGATTTTTAAAGTTCACGAAACTATTAAGAGTTGTATCCTACATTTATAGATTTTACAATCAATTAAAGCGGCGAACCAAAATATCGAAAGATACGCCATCACATCTAACCAATGAGAGGCATCAATCCATTTTGCCTATCGAATTGGAATACGCGGAACAAGTTCTCGTAAAAATGGTGCAAAATTCTAACTTCTCAACGGAACTAGAACTGCTCTCGAGCCAACGGAACCTTCCCAGGCACAGCCCAGTGTTATCATTAAATCCATTTATTGATCAAGCAGGAATCTTGAGAGTTGGTGGTCGCCTTAAACTGTCGCAACTTCCATATAACGCAAAATATCCAATGCTGCTGCCAGGACGTCATCCTTTATCTGCTCTCATTATTAAACACGAGCACGAGAGACACCTTCACGCTGGCCCCCAAGCCACCCTGTCGGTCATTCGTCAGCGTTATTGGCTTGTCTCCGCCAGAGATGCGGTACGTCGAATCACGCGTAAATGCGTGATCTGCTTTAGAAGTTCGCCAAGATCTGCCTCTACACTCATGGGAAATCTTCCCAAATCTAGAGTAACCGTGCCCGCTCGGGCTTTCGAAAAATGTGGAGTGGATTACGCAGGTCCTTTTTACTACAAGGACGGAGCAAGGAGGTCTGCTAAACTTCTCAAATGCTACATGGCCATTTTCGTTTGCTTTGCTACAACAGCTGTTCATATTGAGTTGGCTGCGGACTTGTCGGCTGAAGCTTTCCTGAATGTTTTAAAACGCTTTATTTCCAGAAGAGGATACCCAACAGACATTTTTTCCGACAACGGTCTAAACTTCATAGGCGCCGAGCATGAATTGCAGGATTTGGCTGCATTACTCAACACTCAAGAAACTCAACGAAAAATTATAGATTCCATGGCGGCCAACAGAATCAATTGGCACTTTATACCTCCTCGAGCGCCTCATCATGGTGTTCTCTGGGAAGCTGCCGTCAAGATTGCCAAGCGTCACCTCTTTCGGG